AAATAAATATTAAATATATTTTATATATTTTTAAAATATTAAAAGACTAAAAAATTAAGTGATATAGTTACAAGTTAACATTCCTAAATTAAGTTTTAGTTTGTTTATATATAGATATATTTGAGAATTAATAATTGATTAACTTTTTTGTTTTTTGAACAATTATCATAAGAACGGATTGAACGATTATCCAAAGGAGGAAAGATAAACCTTTAGGGTGGCAGAGACTTGGTTTATAAGCTAGATTCTAATAATTGATTAACTTAATTGATTAATTGACAAAAAAAATTATAAAAAATATATATTTCGTAATTAAAAACAAAAAAAAGTACACAAAGAATTCAGGGTCTAAAAATATTCAAAATTCAAAGTTCAAAAAAAAAAAAAAGAACTACCTTTAATTTGCTCAGATTCCATTCTTATATATTTAAATTTTTTTAAGATAAATAATTTTAAGTTTTGGGAACACATCAATCATTTTTGTGAGTATTTGGCATATGGTGCGTAGCAATATCTCCCAGCACAGTATTTTGTTTATCATCTAAATATTTTCACGAGAGTTACAGATTTTTAATTTTATGTTACAGATTTTTAATTTTATGCAGGATTATAAATTTAAATTTTTAATATTTTTTTGATCAAATTGAAATTAATTATATATATTAGTTGAGTCGAATGTTACACCTATGAACAATCTTAACTTAGGTTCATGTTACTGAGTTAGAGCAAACTGTTCTAAACTTTTAATATGATATAAAATTATAAATTTAGATTTTTAATATAATATAGGGTTATAAATTTATATTGATTGATGATATAATATGATATTAAATGGTGGGTGGAGCTGTAAAGAAATCAGGGAGGACTATAGTTCCCTGATCTTTTGAAAGGTTTTAAAATTAGTTTTAAATTTTAAATTTTGTGAAATTCATCCTTAATTTTTGTTTTATTCACTTAATTATTCTTAATATTTATGAAAATAATCATTATTAGTCTTTTTATAAATCTTTTCAATTAAATTCAAAACAAAAATGTTGTCATAATAATTAGTGACAAATCTATTAAATATAAAAATTAATTTTTAATCTTTAATTTTTTTACCAAAAAATTGCTAAAAAAATCTCTAAACTTTTAATATTTCTTCTCCATGTCATCCCTCTTGTTACTTAAATCATCACTTTTGTATGCTTAAAATTAGTTTAAAATATTCAGTTTACTCATCAATATTTTTTTTTAGGTCAAAATATCAAATTTTTTACCTCTGACTTATAATTTTTAACTAAGTCAAATATTTTACTTTATTTTATCATTTTTTGTACTAATTTTTGATATGTTTTTAAATTTATTACATATTATTTTTAAAATGTGTTTTATTCTATATTTTTTCCACAAATATAACTAGATAATTGTTTAATGATTATAAAAAATTTCAAAATACAATATATTTCATATTGAGTATAGCCAAGTCTGATTTTAGACTCAATTTTTCAACTTTACAACTATATATTACTCCTTTTGATCCTTTTTTGTTTTCCTATTTCATCAAATTTATGTTAATTAACTTAATTATTTATGTAACAAATAAATGACAACTAAATTTTTTTTTAATCAACAAGCATTATGTTTAGGGAAAAAGTTTTCAATTGTCACATGTTTATTTTTTAAAATCAAGTCAAATTTGACATAAAAATCAAATTAATACAACTATAACATACTAAGAGGAATAATATTGTAAACACAAATTTATTGATAAACTTGGTTCCCCCTCATTTCAAATCTTGACTTCATCACTGATTAAACAGGTAAGTACATACAAATATCACCGTGATCTCAAATTAAAGCTTCTTTTAACCATGTTTCACACATACTTTTTACACAATAACTTATCTAAAAATATAAATTTATCATACTTAATTATTTTTTTTTTTTTTTTTTTTATTTTTATTTATTGTTTTTTTTTTTTAGGATTATTATAAAAAAAACCTTTTATTTCCTTCTTGGCCGGCTTATTGGACCCTTACCAATTAAACCTTTAAGGATTCATTCTTGGATTTTTATTTTTTATTTTTTTTCTTAACAATTGTAATTTATAATTATAAGCTTATACAACCCTAATTATAGCATTTTCCATATTTTTTATACTCACCTTATTATCCAAACCATCAATCTCAAACTTTTCTACCAACGTGTTTTTTTTTTAAAGAAAAAATGCACCTTAACGTTTTTTTAAAAAAAAAAAAAAAGTTCCTAACGATATTAATTATACTAGTAGATAAAATTAAATTCTTTTTTTTTTATTATTATTACTTAGCAATTATCTACGATGGGAGAATTTTAGACCTTACAAGTCTTTGATGTTTAGTACTATTACTAATTTATCTTTTTTAATAATGCTACTACATTTTTCTCTAAATTAGTGGATTAATTGGCACTAATTTAAGTGGCACAGTAGTTAATTCTTTCTTATAAAAGAGATCGTGGATTTGAGTATGGTATGTAGGTGGAGAGTGTTAAGAGATAGAGAGTTATTTGATATTATGCAACTCAAAATAAATAAATAAAAGTATGGAGTAATTCTTTGTTGAATTTTTAAAACTTTTAAGATAAATCAGTTACAAAAAGAGATAAATTGTGTTTTTTTGATAATTTTTACAAATTTTATTCTAATAAGTAATGGGAAATAGTTTCTTTTTTTGAAAAAAAAAAATTTAGTACATATAGATTAGGAATTAAATTTTAAACATGTGATTAATATTACAGATAACTTTATCACAAAATTACATGGCTAATGATGAAAAATACTTGTTATTAGTTACTAATTATGATTATTTTAGGTTGCACAATGAAAATAACCATATCTTATCTCTTTATCTACCATATATGTATGCTTATGATTTTAACACAAAATTTTTTATTAAAAAAATTACCACTAATCCATTTAAATTATTCACAATTGTTTTCAGTTAATATTATTATTACATTGTTTCATCTTATCAAAAGAAAATTTTTGAAATTACGAAATAATCAATTCTTTAACGTCACAATTTATCATATCTATATGATTTTTTTTATATATAAAAAAAAACATCCTTTATACCAAACGAGCCCTCGTACCCTTAAAGGTTTCATAAAAACCAAGTTAGGATCAAATAAAGAAAAGAAATCCAACTTTAATTTTGCATTTTTGGGTCAGATGTAGGCCTACGCTTTTCAGGCCCAGCTCTAACTTCTCTTCAAGATATAAGCTACTGCCAAGGCCGACCTTATCGTCTTGTTTGCTCGTCTTGTGGAGTTTGCAGTAATTTCGTGGAAAGCCTTCCTCCAAAGCGAGTGATGGTTCTTATTGGGGTGTACCTAGAAATAGTAACGTGACACTAATTTCTCTTATTTAATCCATTATCTCTTCAATTTTTAAGAGAAATATTCTTCATTTTAATAGCATCAAGGCTCAAATCAAAGGTTATTTGAATTAATCATTTACTTGTTTCTCAATTCTAGCTTATCCAAAAAAAAAAAAAAAAAAATTGTTTCCCAATTCTCTACATTTCACCAAAGTTCAAGGCACACGATATACTTCATTCATAAATCTCCACCTAATTAACTTCACCTTCTTCATGACACTATTTTATATATTAAAGTAAACATATATTATTTTTCCATACAAGTAAATCATTATATCTGTTAATTAATTTGCAGAGAAAAAGAAAATATCACAAACAACAACACTCATTTTTTAGTAAGGGTTTGTTTGTCTGAGAATAGAACTTAGAATTTAAGGATAACTTAATCTAAAATTTGGATCAAGAGTTACTAAGACACAAGGCAAGGCTTAGTTTGCAATCAATTATTAATAGTGGAGTCTAATAAATCCAAAGTACAAAGTTTCAAGGGTCCTTTTGTACATATTATAAGCATTTATATATGTTAAGAATGTATACTATTGAGACATGCTCAGCTAAAATCTTTAGCTTTATATAAAAAAAAAAGAAACAAAAAGAAAAAAAGTAAAGTCAAGCTTCAGCTAGATGTAAAAAGAATTATTGCAAACAACAGTACCCCTTCTTTATAAAGGTATTGTTGGCCTGAGTAGAACTCAGAACTTAAGGCCTGCTAAGTCTTTAGTTTAGACCAAGTGCCACTGAGCTATAAGACCTAATGATCCAAAGTTCTTTAAGGGTCCCTTTAGTTTCTTTAGACCAAAATAAAGCTTCCTCCTTTGTTCAAAGTTGACACCTTTAAATGTCACTGTGAAAAAAGCAATTCAAAAGAAGGGGCTATGCCAACGGAAGTTCATCTACAACTACAAGTCAAACCTTTTAAAGCCCAATTCCAAAAACATTGATCTGGACCGCTCTAAAGCAAAGTATAACAATAACATGCATATATGCCTTGTAAAAGAAGCCTAATTTATGGTTCCTTTCGAATAAGAAAGCCATGGAAAAAGCAGTGCGTCTCTTCTTTTGTCATTATGGGCCTTACGTTTCTGCTTCCTTTCTAAGTCTCTCTCTCTCTCTCCCTCTCTCCCTCTCTCTCTCTCTCTCTTTTGCTATTTCCAAGAGTCTTTTCTTTTTGGCTTCTTTTGTAGCATTCCAATTTTCTTTTTTACTTTTTGGAATTTTCTTTGTCAATCCTATTCTATCTTCCATACTTAAAAGTAAAAATATACCCCTTTTATTGGGGTAAAAAACAGCCCTTGGCCCTTGGAAGCTTTGGTTTTTTGGGGGAAAATGAGCCAATGTCCGTTGATATTCACAAAGGGAAGCAGTCCACATGGAACTAGATTCTAGAACATCTACTTTGGCAAGAAAGAGAAAAAAAAAAAATTTTAAAGTGACATTTTAGTTTCTCAACTTTTGAACTTTTGCATTAAATTTGTTTTTAACTTTTTAACACTTTTTTTTAGTCCCTTAATTCTTTTATTTAATATCAAAATGGTCCCTATATTACCTATTCAAAAAGTTAAAAGATCATTTTAATATCAAAATTTTGTTAAAATTAATGTGTCATGTCATTCAATTAAATGAATATGTGCGTCCAACACTTTTTTTTTTTTTACAAAGATAATAATTAATAATTAAGTTAAAAAATATTAATAACTGAAAATTTGATACTCTAAATAAATGATTTTTCACCTATCTTATTGAGGTACGTGACCTATCGGGCCGCATGATGGAGTTTATCCAACACATTCATTTACTTGGATGTTCTTTTCTTCTCATTTATTTTAACACAAGTATGTTGTTAGGAAAATTATACCTACTCTACCTATATTGTTTTATAGCTGTATATAATTTTTAGAATTTTAAAACGTGCACATAATGATAGCTTTAGGTGAGTATACATATCCTTAAAAATTAATTTAATGCGTAAATAACTACTTGAATTTTGCACTTCGAATATCTTACTTTTAGATGTTACCTAAAATGCTCTAAGTACCCAAAAGTTTCTTTTCTCTTGAATTATTTTTTTCTTTAGGTTTAAAGGGGCAATTATGATATATATATATATATATATATAT